TCAGCCTCTCAAGTGCCGGGATGACAGGGGTAGCCCCCCATGCCAGCAGTTTTGTTTTCTGAGATAAGGTCCTGCTATGTAGTGAAGAGTGACTTTAAACTGCCTAATAGTCCAGATTGTCCCAGAACTTACAGTCCTGCCTCAACCTTCCAAGTAAGTTTTTCAATTTGAAAAGAAAATTTAATTTGAAAATATTCTAAATTTTTAATTTGAAGTCCAGTTTACTAGTTTTGCTCTTTATGGGCCGGGTGTTTAGTGTCAATTTTAAGAAGTTGTTGTTTAGCTCTAAATTTCAAAGCATTTTGTCCTGTCTATGTTTTGGTTGTTTGTTTTAAGATAGCATCTTTCTATACAGTTCAGGCTGACCTGAAACTCCCAAGAGCTGGAATTAGAGGTGTGTGCCATCACACCTGGCTAGCCTATGTTCACCCCACCTTTTTTTTTTTTTGGTACAGGGTCTTGCTACCAGCTTGAACTCATGCTGATTCTCCTGTCTCAGCTTCCCCAGGGCTAGGATTACAGGCGTGAGCCACCACACCCAGTTTTGGTGGCTAGGAGCTCGGATGGGCTTGGTGCAGGGCCAGCTTAGCATGTGCCAGGGATGGAAGCCCAGTCCTTGCACTTGCCAGGTGGGCACTTAGGCTGATGTGCGCTATCTCCTTGGCTGGTCCTGGTTTTCCTTTTTTTTTTTTTTTTTTTGAGACAGAGTCTCATGGTGCAGTTCAGGCTGACCTTGAGTTCACTTTGTTAACCAGACTAATCTCAACTTGCAATGATCCTCCTGTCTCAGCCTCCCAAATGTTGGGATTATAGGCATGCGCCACCACACCGGACCCATTTTGGTTTTTTGCAAAAGTTTGATAGTTTTATATCAACACTTCAGTCTGTGATTCCTTTTAAGTGAACTGTCACCTGCCCAGCAGCAGACCCAGGTGCAGCGGGAGGCTTTGCAGATTTCTGGGCCCCTTGTCCTGTGGCTTCCTGCTCTCCAATGTCCTTTCAAGACCTCTCCTCTTACCCACTATGCTAAACTGCCTCTTCTGCAAGTTGGAGGCTGTGCAGGATGTTGAACAATGGCTAATCAGTTCCTCCTACAGACCACCTAAGTGTCGGCAAGGCTGCAGGACCAGGTGTAAGGAAGCACGTCTACAATCCTAGCTCTCTGGGAGGCTGAGCAGTAGAGTCACAAGTTTAAGCCCAACCTGTGCAACTTGGAAACTTAGTGAGACCTTGTGTCAAAATGTTTTTTAAAAAACAATCTGAGGTTGTAACTCAGTACAAAGACTCTGGGTTCAATCCCTAGTACAGAAAAGAACACAGAAAGCAAGCAAGAAAGACGCTTTCAAGGTTGTAGATAGGAAGACATCTTAGCCCAATTTCGGTCATCCCCACAAGAGCCCAAACCCAATGTAGTGGCACAAACCATAGAGTCTGGAGATGCAACAGTGTTCTGAGCAACAGGACTGCACAGTGATCAGGCCAATGGGGCTGTCTTCCCCCAGAGCCAGGGTTCACTACCCCCCACTTTCTAGTTCCTTGGATCTCCCCACCAAGTGAGGAGCCAGGATACTGGGCACCCACCCTGGCTTCCAAGTGTCATCTGAAATTTTTTACCTTATATGGTAATAAATCACAGTCCAGCTTCACTCTGGGCTTGAATTTTCTTAAGAGGAAAATTCTGTTTTTCTGTTCTCAACACTCTGATGCTCAACATGGGTTTTCTACCCCAAGTTAATCTCTAATTTGCTGTGAACACCAATTCAGTGTCCTCCACAATGATGCAACAATACCCTAACTGGCTAGAGTCAGTGAAGACCTACAGGTTAAGGACTCCATCCCCAAGACTGTCCCCCCATTTGGACAACAGTTACGAACAAGGGGCCCTAATCTACCCATGCTCCTGTCCAACTTGACTACAGATTGGAAGTTCCCATGAGCCCCAGGTTCGGTAATCTGTGGCTCACAGAACTCAGAGAGCTGATCTATTGTTAGGGGTTCGTGATCAGGAATGCAACTCAGGCATCTCTAAATGAAGGGCACACAGGGCAAGGTGTTGGGCATGTGGGGCATCCATGCCCTCTGAACTGGGCCACCCTCTCAGCCCTTGTTTTTTTCACCAGAATCTTCCTAGAGCCCATGCCTTAGGATTTATGTGGTGCGTCTGTGATATGACATGAGTGGCTAAATCATTGGCTACAGAACTCAATGCCAGCTTGGAGGCTGGGGAAAGGCTCACAGTTCCAGCCTTTTAATCACATACTCAGTTCCTCTGGCAACCAGTCCCCTGTTTCATGCATTGCACAGGACACCAGTCACTGAAACAGCACAGCTTGCAAAAGAAATTATTAGGGAGGCAGCCAAGCATGTGAAGGAGCGAGAATGTAAGTCTCAGATCTGCCTCCCCACCATAGGGTCTAGGGACAGCTATGTGATGAAGAAGCCCCGTGGGGGTAGGGGATGTAGCTCTGGGTAGACCACTTGCCTAGCACAAATACTGCCCTTAAGTTCCATGCCCAAAACCTCCCACCACTCCCAAGAAAGAAGTAGGCTGATTAAAGATCCAGGGGAGGGTGAAAGTAATCAGTGACCTTCGCATGTGTGATTAAACTTCATGGCTCTTCAAAGGATGTGTGTTCTGAAAATTGCATTAGGGGCTAGGGATATAGCTCAGTAGCATAAGTGCCTGCATGGCAAGTGCAAGGTCCTAGGTTCAATCCCTGGTACAGACAGACAGACAGACAGACAGACGAAAGAAAGAGAGAAAGAAAGAAAGAAAGAAAGAAAGAAAGAAAGAAAGAAAGAAAGAAAGAAAGAAAAAGAAAGAAGAAAAGAAAATTGCATTAATATGCTCAGAGGGCACTTTGGGTCCTCTGAAATAAAAAAGTCACATATCAGGGACCCAGGCAGGCCCAAATGAAGAGCTGACAGTTTCAAGTACCTTATAACTAACCTCGCAACCACTATCACTATGACCCATATTTCTGAGTACATGACACAGCTGCAGCTGTGTCTCCTCCCAAACCAGTGATTTTTTTTTTTTTTCACTTATGTATTTGGTACAAGGTCTTACTATGCAGCTCAGACTCATAGCAATCCTCCTGTTTTCAGCCTCTCCAGTGCTGGGATTACAGGCATGTGTCAATGTGCCTGGGGGAGGGGCTGGCATGGTATGCGGTAGTGGAGATTGAATCCTGGTCCCTGAGGTTGCCAAAGCAGACACTTTAGTCTGCTGAGCTATCTCGCTGGCCCCAAATTAGTGATTTGTGTTTTTGTTTTTTCAGACATAGTCTCACTATATACTTCAAACTGGCTATCAGCTCAGGATGGCCTCAAACTTGCAATCAGCCTGTCCCAGCCTCTTGGATAATGGGATTACAGACACGTACCTTCTCCTTGGCAGAAAATTAATTTAGATTTCAAATTAGTGATTTTTAAAGTTGACTAGTCAATTTTTAAAATGTAACTGAAAACAAGTGAAACTAAAGAGGGGCTGGGGAGATAGCTCAGTAGAATAAGTGCTGGCATGGCAAGCATAAGGGCCTAAATTCAATCAGCGGTTCGGCCAAAAAATCCAAACAAAACAAAACAACAACTAAAGGGTTTATTCAGATTCTCCCTTGGGTGCAGGCTGGGTTTCTCAGGTGTGTGGAGGAGAAATGGTTCTGGAAGCGCTTACTCTTTAGTGGATTCTTCCGCTGTTAGGAGCCTGATTGGAGATGGGTCACTGGGGCATGACCTGGAAGGGTGGATTCTTGTCTGGGCTCCTCCCCTCTTCTGTCTCTGCTTGCCGGCTCCCTGCCTTGCTTGAGCACCTTTTCCTCAGTCACCCCATTTCTGCCTGGGAGGCAGCTGAACACACATGAAACCGTGAAGCAAAACAAACCTCTCTTCCTTTAAGTTGTGGGAGTCAGGCATTGTGTCTCCACACTGGAGAAAGTGACTAAGACAGTATGTCACGTTCCTAGTTTCTCTGAGTCCTGCGGATATGGAAGTTGGACACAGTCCAGGTCTTGGGTCTTCTTGGCAGGAAAGGAAGGCTTCGTTCTGAGAGGCCTGAGTGGAAGTGTGGGAAGGCAGTGCTGGAAGGAGAAACATGACACACAACACCAAAATTGCCTAACAACACATTTCTCACAACTTACTGCTATCACTAAGTGATGAATAACTTCATGGCCTAAATTCCAAATTTTCCAATACACAATTAGAAGACCTGGGTATGGTAACTGTGTGCCGGCAACTCCACAGGCACTGCCCTCTTCCCATACGGTACCTGACCTTCGTTTTGCCACAGTGTCCACCACACTCTCCATTGCACCCCAACTCTGGGGCTCAGGATCAACTGTCAGTCACCACTGGACTGGCACTGTTTTCTTATTCCCAGTTGGTGCTATAGGCACCTGCATCTTTTACCTTTAGCTTCACATAGTGGAAGAAATGAGCACCAAAAGGGAAATATCTGGTGACAACTTCAAGTCTAACAATACAAAGGACCAGAATTCCAGGGCCCCTTTCTTCTGAGGACGCTTTGGCCTGAATCTCTCATGTATGTCCACGTGGCAGTGCTGGCAAAGTCTTTTGCTCTGGGATCCTCACAGGGGACAGAGGCCCAGGACACCAGGAGGATTCCCTGCCTCCCATTGGGCCAACTGATGACTTTGGGACTCCCAACTGAACACGGGGTCAGGCTCTGTGGGGTGGGGAACTATTATGGAACCTGGCCACAAACACCCAAGTAGCAGGAAGTGCCTGAAATCAGAGCTCTTTAGGGAAGTACAGAGCACAGGGTGCCTGGAAGGAAGCCAGAGATGTTGTGGGGCAGAGGGCAGTGGTCAGGGGAACAAAGGTCTATACTGAGGGTGACCAGGCTCTTTTGCCAACGGGCAACTTCTGCCTTTGGAGGGTGTTTCGCAAGCCCCAAGAATAAGAATGTGTACTGGCATATGGTGATGTAAGCCACGGAAGCTGTGAGGAGGTAGAGGATGTGGGCTCCTACACCCATTCACTCGCAGCTCACTTACAGCTCACTCACACAGAAGGGTGAAGGCAAGGGGCTTCCTCCTGACACTGCGTCCTAATGACAAGTGAGTAGTGGCTTCTGGGGACACAGCCTGACTCTAGCAGGGGGCAAGAGTCTCCTCTCCAACAGACTTGGAGAGGAGACCAAGTCTGTTGGAGATTTGGGGAAGCAAGGAAGCACCTCGGCCCCCACAGGCATCCAGGTGGAGACCACAGTGTTGGCACTTGACATACTGGTGGGTTCAGTTATTCAAGCCAGTTGGGGCCTCTTCTTCTCTTGTCACTGGCACCCCTGACACTTCCTTGCCACTAGTGGAGGTAGGGGATGAGACACACAACTGGTGGCCTCTGCTCGCCCTTCTCAGAGCCCAGTGCCTCTTTCACATGCTCTAAGGCAGAATTGGGCTTGGAGGTCTCTGAGCTCACACGGGAAGAAAGTAACTCTGAAGCTTCCACGTGCTTTTGAATGGTTGGTGAGGGATGAAAGGGATGGACCTGAAGTGGGGGCCAGGGACCTTCATTTCTCCACCTTGACAAGAAGATGTGGGAGAGAAGGCAAGTGACTTGGGCTCTGGGCTCTAGAAAGAAGCAGGACGCCAGCATGCTTTCTGGGGCCTCTCTCAAGTCGACAGGAGCCCACAGAGGCTGAGCAGGCCCACCTATGGCTCTACCACTAGCCTGCCACATCGGGGTCCACAGCAAGCACCTCTACAGCAGACCTACCTCAGTGAGAAGATCCCTATCCCGGAAGCAAAACCGGTGGGAATGCTGGGAACCTGTGGGAACTCTCAGGGTTGCTGTAATTCTCTGGGGTCCCACAGATGGAGGGACTGGGCATGTCTCATGACCATGACAAGCTCCTTCCTATTCTGAGCAGCACTGGCATACAGAGGCAACTGCCCTGTGCCTGCTTATGTTCTCAGCATCTAGCTGGATGACTCCATAGTTGCCTAAAAATGATCAAGTTGCTTTCTGAATTAATCTCAGCTTCCCTCTGAAGGGAGAGGGGCCTGGGGCAATTGACTAAGCTAATAGGCAGGCGGCCCCGGACTGGGGCAGTTGAGATGAGCACCTAGAGAGCTGCTTTAACCTATAAGATGCAGACCCAGGCTATGGCCTAGAAAGAAGTGGAGGAAGCTGCAGGCTGATGGCTAGAACACTGTCACCTGCATTGTCAAAATCTCCAGCAGATTCCTAGGTTGACAAGCCAAGCCCTGAGCAAGGATGGGGTGATTACAGCCTCAGTGAACCCCAAAGAGGTGACCCTGTGGCCTGAGAAGGGACTGGGGAGGGACAAGCTGGGCAGAAAGCTTGGCCTTCACTAAGCATCTGTCTTGGGGTCCTAGGGGGACTGCTAGACTTAGCCTGCAGGAGAGGAGGTGGGCAGGTGAGCTGCAGGCTGCTGCTGAGGCTGCTGAATGTGACCAGACTGATCCAAAAATCAGATCCACTGTGACTCAGCAAACCCTGTAAATTCTAACATGTTGCATCCTCCTCTGTGCCCTGGGAGTGGTGGTGGAGCTCTAGGCATGGCCAGGGAAGGCTGACCCTGCCTGCAGGGCTGAGCTGGGGACTGGCCAAGGCCAGCTGTGGGCAGCTGTATCCAGGACTACCCCACTCACCTCCACTTCCCACTTCCTTCACTCTCACCTCCGCACCCCCCCCCAACCCCTAGGGTACATTCAGCCTGCGGAAGTTGTGGGCATTCACAGGGCCTGGCTTCCTCATGAGCATCGCGTTCCTGGACCCAGGAAACATCGAGTCAGATCTTCAAGCTGGTGCTGTAGCTGGATTCAAAGTGACTGAGCTGGGCCTTGGGAGGGCCCTGGGAGGAGGGAGGTGACTAGGCTGACAGAGCAGAGACCCCAGCTTGCCCTGTTTCACCAGAGTGGGTGGTGATAAGGAGGGTTTTCCAGGGATCCAGCATCAAGTGCAAGTGGGCCAGGAAAGGGCCCCAGGGCAGCACTGAGCACGGGTGCGGGTGGTCTTTCCACTTCCTCTCTCCCACTTTCTCCTCACTGAGTGTCCATGGTCAGAAGGCGCTGCCTGCTCTGGGTCCTCCGAGGAGGATCCCTCCCCTGAAGGTCTCTCTTGCCTCCTCACAGTTGCTTTGGGTGCTGCTCTGGGCCACCGTGCTGGGCTTGCTCTGCCAACGACTGGCTGCCCGGCTAGGTGTGGTGACAGGCAAGGACTTGGGCGAGGTCTGCCATCTCTACTACCCTAAGGTGAGTTGGGGGCAGTGGGGTGGAGAAGGAAGACTATCCCAAGCCCTGAGTGGTCATTTCTAGTTTCCATGACCAAGTGAACCAGGACCTCACCAAGGCATCCCAAGTCCAGGTGCTAAATGGAGAAACTGAAGCTCGGACTGAGAGACCAGGCTTGTCCCCGGAAGGCAATGACCTGCGGCAGTTCAGGGATGCTTATTGCAGGGCTGGGCCCTGGGGACTTGGCAGCTGTCCGTGCCCAGTTAGGAAAAACAAAATCACACCATGACAGAGCTCAAAGGGACTCCACGCAGGCATCTAGTCACTGTAGGTGTTGAAGAGCTACAGGAGCAAGGGCAAAAGATGCTACCAACGCTCAGAAAGAGGCTGAACCCTGGTTCAAGCCCAAGAGCCATCACCTGCTGCTGAGCTTCCAGAGCGATTGTGGCCACTGCTAAAAGGACCAAAGTGTGGGCTGGAGCCCAGCTGGCCTGGTGTCCTCACTGATATCACACCCAGAACCACCAGCAGAAGCAGGAGGGAAATGGGTTCTCTGCCTTCCTGTCTCTGTCTTAGTCACTTTTCCATTGCTATCACGAGCATACCAGACACTGGGTGCTTTGGAAAGATGAGACAGGAAGCCAGGCTTGCTCTTCTGTAGCAATTCACTCTTGGAACTTAACCAGGATCCCTTGGGAGCTACAGTACATCCCTTCTGAGGGCAGCACACTCAATCACCGAGTTACCTTCCTCTAGGCCCCACCTTTAAGTTCCACCACCTCTCGACACCTCCACATGGGACCAAGCTTCCTGCATACAAAGTCGTGAGCGAACACATTTAAGCCATAGCCAAACCCAGTGCCAGGAGCATGTCTCACAAAACCCAACTGGATGCAAATATAGTACGCAGGCTTCTAGCCCTGCAGCAAAGGGGCACATGAATGTGGGACTGAACTAATACATTGTTTAAAATTATATATTAGTGCTTTTTTTTTTATTTTACAGAAGGGTCTACAGGGTGTTCAGGGTCTCACTGCTAGATCAGACTCCTAGTGATGCACCTGTTTACAGCCTCCGAAGAGCTGGAATTACAGGCATGTGCCACCATGCCCAGTCTTAATTGCTGTCTCAGTGTGCCCTGGGGGCAGGGCCAGCACAGTAGGCCCAGGGATTGAACCCCTGGCCTCTGTGCCTGCTTGCAGGCACTTTAATCTGCTGAGATATTTGGCTGGCCCTTATATTATTGCTTATTGATTTTACAAAATACTAGAGTGGGGTGTTTTTTGAGACAGGATCTCACTATGCAGTTCAGGTGGGCCTTGACCTCACTTTGTGGCCTGGGCTGGTTTCAAACTCACAACGATCCTCCTCCCTGAGGCTTCTGAGTGCTGGGATTACAGACCTACATGAACCACACCCAGCGAATACTGGGTTTTGATGTGGTATTTTCATTCATGTATATATTTTCCTCACACCCACCACACATCACCCTCCCTCAGTCCTCCCTCCCCTTTATTTCCTTCCTCTTATCTAAGCATTGTCTCCCCACTTTCTGTCATCTTTTTTAGAGTCTACATCTTTCTGAATCTAGCTCATCTCATTTAGCATGATAATCACCAGCTCTATTTATTTTCCTGCAAATGACATAATTTAATTTCTTTCTTATTTTGTTTTTAAGGACTTGGCACAGGGTCTCACTACACAGCACAGGTTCATAATGATTCTCCTGTCTGCAGCCTCCCCAGTGCTGGAACTACAAGCAGGCACCAATATGCACAGTCTGGTAGTGGGCTCAGCTCGCCCCGGAGCAGGGCTGGCAAAGCCTGTGGTGCAGGGGATGGAACCCTGGTCCCCGCACTTGCCTAAGCAGGTGCTTAGTCTTCTGAGCTATCTCACTGGCCTTTTAATTTCATTTTTTTTTACTTATTTATTTTTTATTTTATTTTTTGCAGTACTGGGGATTGAACTCAGGACCCTGTGCTTGTCAGACAAGCGCTTATTCTACTGAGCTATCTCCCTAGCCCTTTTCATTTTTTGTTTTCCTTTTCAAAAGGATGAGAATTTTTTTTTTAATTGGATACAGGGTCTCACTACACATCTCAGACTTGTAGTGCTCCTCCTATCTCAGTCTCCCCAGCACTGGGATTACAGGCAAACGCCACCACACCCAGTTTGGGGGCTGGCATACATGCGTTACCAGGGGTCAAACTCTGGTCCTTGTGCTTGCCAGGCAGGCACTTAGATGGCTGAGCTATCTCCTCAGCCCATAATTTCATTCTTTATGGCTGGATATATTCATTTTACCGTATGTATAGACCTCATTTTCTTTATCCATTCATTTGTTCATGGGCACCTAGGTTGGTTCTATATCTTGGGTATTTATGTATTTGTTTCAATAACCATGGGCATGTCAGTACCCATATAGTATTAATATGCTGACTTTAATTTCTTGAAGTATGTCCCAAGGAGTGGTAGCCAAGTTATAGGGCAGTTCTCCTTTCAGGTGTGTGTGTGTGTGTGTGTGTGTGTGTGTGTGTGTGTGACCATCTGTCTGTCTGTCTGTCTTACTAAGGGGACCGAATCCAAGGTGCTCTGGCACTGAGCTACATTTTTATTTAAGTATTTAGACAGGGTCAGACATGGTGGCACATGCCTGTAACTCCAGCACTTGGGAAGCTGAGGCAGGAGATTGAGTTTGAGGCCAGCATGGACTACAGAGTGATCCTGTCTCAAAACACAACAAAACAGTGCTGGCCAAATAGCTTAATGGACTAAAACACCTGCTTAGGCAGGTGCAGTGACCAGGGTTCAATCCCCAGCCTGCCCTGCTGGCTCCACCAATGAAACTACATAGGATATCTACAAGGATATCCAGTGTTTGGTTTTGCTCTCTTTTGTTTTGTTTCTTTGTTTTTTTGGTGCAGGAATCAAACTCATAAACTCATAACCTTACACTTGCCAGGCAGGCACCATGCCACTGAGCTATATTCCCAGCCCCATAGCGCTATTTGTTAAAGAGGATGTCTTTTCTCCTATGTATGTTTCTGGATCCTTTGTTAAGAATCAGATGTTTGAGCCGTGTGTGGCAGTGCATACCTGTAATCTCAGCACATGGGAGGCTGAAACAGGAGAATTGTTTCCAGTTTGAGGCCAACCTGGGTAACACAGTGAGTGCAAAGCTAGCCTGAACTACATAGCAAGACCCTGTCTCCAAAAACAACAATCAGGGCCTGGGGAGAAAACTCAGTAGAATAAGCACCTGCCTGGCAAGTACAAGGTCCTGAGTTCAATCCCCAGTACCGGGAAAAAAAAAAAAAATCAAACAGAAAGACTCAGATGATTCTAGTTGTATGGGTTTGTTTCTATGCCCTTTTTGTTGTTGTTTTAAAGAAGACAAAATAGTGAAAGAAAAAAAACAAACAAACAGTATTAGAAACAACACAAGAATCCACTAAACAAAGTAATAGGAATTCAATAATGGTTGCTGTATTACATGATGCTATCTTCAAATTAGTTGCTTAGATTACCAGATATAAACATGTAAGATTCGTTTAAAGAAAAAGAAAAAAACAATAATGAACAAGTTATAAGAAATTCAAGAGGAAAAAAAACAGAGTAAAAAAAATTTAAGCGTTAACTGCTTTCAAAGATCAGCAATCAACGATATAATTATCCAAACTATTCTGCATATATACATAGATGTATCTTTTTCTCTTCTTTCATTTTTCCTTTTTCTCATACCAGTTTTTTGTTGTTGTTGTTGTTGTTGTTGTTTTGTCAGATTATAGAAACTTCTTTAGTAATTTTTGTTTTCGGTACTGGGGATTGAACTCAGGACTTTGAACTTACCAGGCAAGTGCTTATTCTACTGAGCTATCTCCCCTATAAAAAATTTTTCTTTTTTCTTTTTTTTTGCGGAACCGGGGATTGAACTCAGGCCCTTGCTGCTTGCCAGGCAAGTGCTTATTCCACTAAGCCATCTCCCCAGTCCCAAAAACTTCTTTAATCAAGACTTTAACATTGAACAGATTTCTCAAATAAAATGGAAACACAAATCTATAAATCACCATAAAGTACTCATAATTCCCAGCAGGAAAACACAAAACAGCAAGCTTCCCCCATCCTGTACAAGCCACGGCCTGCTTCTCAGATGCTTCTTCCACCTGTCAGGTGTGTTCTGCTGGAAACAGAGCGCACTGTGGCTCCCTGCGTCAAACTCAGCTGAGGCTGCAGCCCACAGCGACTCACATGGCAGGGCTGTGGTGGCAGCGGCCCCACTCAAGAGGCAAGGCAGTCATCAGCACATTCAAACAGTGTGTTGAACGGCCTTTAGATATCAAAGTGAGGGGCCGGCCAAATAGCTCAGCGGATTGAAGTGCCTGCAAGCAGGCGCAGGGGCCGGAGTGTTAATTTCCGGGCCTGCGGTGCTGGCCCCGCCCCCAGGGCACACTGAGAAGGAAATTGAGACTGGGCGTGGTAGCGCACACCTGTAATCCCAGCTCTTGGGAGGCTGTAAACAGGCGGACCACTACGAGTCTGATCCAGTAGTGAGACCCTGAACACCCTGTAGACTCTTCCCTAAAATACAAAAAAAAAAAAAAAAAAAAAAAAAAAAAAAAAAAAAAAAAAAAAAAAAAAAAAAGTCCAAGTGAGAAATGAGAGGGCAACATAATCATATTATCAGAAAGATGTCAGGCAGGAAGGACAGCTGTGCATAGCTTGAGGCTGATAAACTGCTTGCCAGCTTCATTTGTTTGGCTTCTTGGGTAGCGGCTGTGGGAACAGCAAGATATGAGGTTCTGGTTCGTGGATCATATAATGGACCCACCCCTGCTCCGCTGAACACCAAGATTCCGCCACTCAGATTCAGACAGAGGTGGCCTTCAGTTACCAGCTTGGCTATATCCTTAGGCAACATGACATGCCTGTATTCAAACTCTTCGACATCGCATTTGTCTGAATAACAGATTGGTTTATGCAACATGTTTGCTTGGCCTGCAGTCTTCAGCCCCACAACGCCAGCCTCCAAACAACTCCCAGCAACACGCGGCCCCACCCTCATTGGCCTCACTTTCAAACACACCCCCTCATCCCAGTTTTCCTTCCCATGAACACTTTCTTTCCCTTTTACAGTATCTATCATACCTTTTAGCTTTTCATTACTCGTTCAGGTTCTCACACTCGCGAGATAATATGATGTTTGCACATGTGGGTCTGATTTATTTCACTCACCAATATAGTCTCTAGCGGCATCCATTTATCTACAAAAGCCTCAAATTTATCTTTTTTATAGCTGAATCATACTCCATCGGGTAAAAATACCATATCTTGTTTAATTATTCCTCAGGTGATGGGCATTTTGGTTGTTTCCAAGATTTAGCTATGACAAATTACACTGCTATAAACATGGGCGCACATGTATCACTGTGGTATGATGATTTCAGGTCTTTTGGAAAAATACTTAGGAGGGTAATAACTGGCTTGAATGGGATGTCAATTCCTAGCTTTTTTTTTTTTTTTAATGTATTTAGTACAGGGTCTACAGGGTCTCACTGCAGATGGGACTCATAGTGATCCTTCTGTTTTCAGCCTCCCAAGCACTGGGACTACAGGCATGCGCCACCACACCCAGTCTCAGTGGCTATCTCGGCGCCCTGGGAGATGTTCTGCCTAAGCAGGCGCTTTAGTCTGCTGAGCTATTTGGCTGGCCCTTTGGCACATAGCTTTTTGAGGAATCTCCACAGATTTCCATAATGGTTATACCAGCCTGCACTCCCACCAACAGTGGGGAAGGGTTCCTTTCCCCACAGCCTCTCCAGCACTTGTTATTAGTTGCCCTCTTGATGATAGCCATTCTTTTTAGCGTAAGATTGTATCTCAGTGTTGTTTTAATGTATTGACTTTTTTCATATATTTTATTTGTCCTTTGTATCTCTTCATTTGTGAAGTGTATTATTCATCTCAGATGGCCATTTTCGGATTGGGTCTTGGATTTGAATTTCGGAGGTTTCATTCTTTATACGTTTTACATAGAAGTCCTTTGTCTGCTGGTATGTCCTTCATTCTATTCCACTGGTCATATATATATATA